ATATAATTATTTTTAATATATTTTCTTATTACTCAATGTTTACAGTAACCTTACAACAACCTTACGGGAAGCTTACAATAACCTTACCGTGTAAGCTTACCACAACCTTACCATGTAAACTTACCACGACCTTACTGTTTAAGCTTACCTTAGCTTTACTGTGTAAGCTTACTGTAATGACGGAAGTTTTAAGATGACCTCAAGTTTACTGTAGGCTTACACGGTAACCTTACAAACCCTACAGATATCCTTACAGAAACCTCACAGCAAGAAGTCGTGCTATGTGGGAAACTATTTATTTTCAGTTATTTTATTGCGGAGACTATTTCACTATTTAATTTGAAAATGAAAATAACAGAAAATCAAAGACAATGTGCAATTCGATAATTAAATAGTGACAGCTTATAAACATAACCTAAAATGCATGAAAAAAAATTTGTCGATATAATCAATATAGCCGAGCTTTTTAGAAGGTAGGTGGCAGCACTCATCTTTTCCTTTCTTTAAATATTGTCTGAATCTTTTTTATAAAAAGCAAAATTCTTACTTGAAATATTGGTCAAAAAGATGTATTATGTTATCAAAAAAGGTAATATTCTAATCAATAATATTGGTTTAAATAAGATATTAATTATATTCAACAATATTTTGAAAAAATAATTCATTATTTTTTGCAATATTTTTAATGAAAAAATTAATTTTTTCACCAATGTTTCCGTTCAAAAATAATATTTTTTACCTTTTCTTTGATAAAAAAATTAAATTTTTGTCACCAATATTTTTGATTAAAAAATTAATTTATTTCACCAATATGTTTGATTAAAAAAAATTTTTTTCATGAAAATTTCCTTTATAAATGCATTTTTCTTTCTTTAAAGAGGAGGGGGTAAAATCCTAATTTTTATTGGCAAAAAAACTCCATTTTTTATTAAGGGGATGAGACTACATATTGTCAAATAAAAGAATTTAATTTCTACCTTCTAGAAAGCTCGGCTATATTGATTTTATCGACAAATTTTTTTTCATGCATTTTAGGTTATGTTTATAAGCTGTCACTATTTAATTATCGAATTGCACATTGTCTTTGATTTTCTGTTATTTTCATTTTCAAATTAAATAGTGAAATATGTCTCTGCAATTACACTATTACGAAAATAACTGAATATAAATCGTTTATTTTTGATCTCAATTTGATACTTTCAAGAAAACTGTGTATTAATTTAACACCCGTTTATCCGAAATAGTTCATATAGGGCTCTTTAGATGTGGATTTCGATAGGCATTGGAATGGTGTTTTTAAAATAACTCTAATTTTATTTGTTCGTAAAATATTAAATTTTTTATTAACTTTTATTACTTAATTAATTATTATGTCGAAAACAAAAAATAATGCCATCTCAGAAATTTAACCATCGATTTGTTAAATCAATGTTAATCATTATTCATGATATTTTTCACGCTTTAAAATGAGGGAGAACATGTTTAAAAGTTATAAACAAATTTTATTTTTTTAACAAATTGTTTAAAAATTAATATTTTTTTAAAAAATAATTTTTTCTAAAAAATTCATATTTAGAGAGTGAAATATATCATTTTGCTTTCTCGTGGAAAAAGCTTTGTAGTTCTTTCGTTTATAAAATTTTTAAAAATGGTGAAAACAAATTTTCTTCTATATAGTAACACCCCAGTAGGGAAAAAACCATGTTTCATGTCCGCCAAATAATGTTCTGGAACATTTTAGGAACATGGATGTTCAAATAATGTTCCAGAACATTATTTGACAGACATGAAACGCTCTAAAAACGTTCTTAAAAGGTTTTTAGAACGGGCATGGTTTTTTGCCCACTGGGATGTTATATGAGATCCTGATCAATTGTCCGGATTTGGGTAACATTTGGTAGGCATATTTATCACATTAATCTCTAAAAAATGACGAGAGGATTTTTAATAATACCTCCAAAAAAAAATCTTTATCGTCTTTTTTCTAAAATTTTTTTTTAATTAAAAAAATTTTTAAATAGAAAAATTTAAGGTGATACATAATAAAATCGCCTTCCTTACATCAAGACGAATCGATTGCTATATATAAAGTATAGATTTGATTTAAATTTATAGAATTAATGAATGTTAAAAATTCAAAAATTCATATTTTAACTAAAAAATTTCCCCCTTTATGGGACTGACGAGGTACCCGGGTATCTTTTGCATTTTCAAATTTGTTTTTTTCGTAATTTTTAAAATCGTACCGACCTAAGGTTTTTTGACATCTCAAATTTATCCATATAAAGTGTTTGAATATTATTTATAATGTACCTTTTATATTTATTTATTGGGAAATAATAAACAAAGTTTCTTCACCCTTAAAAAAAATGTAGAAATTTCTATTAAAAAATTATAAAAAATTACATTCAACAATTTTTTTTAATTTTTATAGTAATGCACGTAATTTTTTTTATAAAATATGTAATTTAGTTACTACAATTAAATAATAATATTCATAAAAAAATCGTCAGTTTTTAACTTTAAAATTACCGTCAAAATGAATTTTAAATAATAAAAAATAAATTTTTTACATTTTTATATTTGATTTCATAAATAATCTGCCTAAATATGTACTTGTTTTGCAATCTAGCAAATATTATATACACGGATACTATTAAATAAAAGATCAATGAAATTGTGAATATATACAAAATACTTAATACGTAACGGACAGTTTTTTAATAATCAACTAATAATGATAATTTTTTATTAGCAAAAAGAAAATCTTATTTTAAAATGAGTCTTAAAATCAGCGCTAGTAGTTGTAATGGAAATTGCATTGCGTAAATTCAGCAAAGCTGCCTTAAGGGGGGCGCCTACTTTATAGAAAGTCAAAAAATGTGTAAATTTCAGGAATTTTTTTCTCAAACGCATTGAAATAAATTGATACGAGTTTTTGTGGATGTTTTCTTATATATTTAAATTTTCGAAATATAATTTTTTTATTGAAAAAAAATTTAATAATAAAATAAACGTCATATACTCGCTGCTGAAATTTTCCCATTGCGTCCAATCTAGGGTCCACAATTCTTATCAAAAACAAAAAAACAAAATTTTTTCTTCAATCGTACATTAGTGTTTAATTTAGTTTTTAATTTTCACATTCTATCGAAATCTTTTAATTCATATTATAAAAGATAATAATGTACGATCGAAGAAAAAATTTTGTTTTTGATAAGAATTGTGGACCCTAGATTGGGAAAATGCAATGGAAAAATTTCAGCAGCAAGGAGTTATATATATGACATTGTCTTTAATATTAAATTTTATTTTTTTTTATGAAAAAATTATTACTTTTACAGTGTATTTATATTATGTGATTATTTCTTTCATTGAAACGTCCACCATACTTAAAGTTAATTGAACTGCTTATTTTAATACAAAATCTTCAATAAATTAAACATAGGTACCCGGGTGCCTCGTCCGCCCATAGAAAGTATTTTTAATTTTTCCTCAGTCCCATGAAGGTTAAATTCAAGTTAATACATAAAATAATTGTATTCCTTGCATTGAAACGAATCGATTCGTATATATAAAGTATATGTTACACCCAAAATTAATTAAAATTTTCTTAATTTTTAATTTTTCAAAAAATGTAATTAATTTAAAAGTTTTCAATTCGAAATGTTTTAAATCCATCAATTGAATTGCATAAATTCATTGCTTCCTTCACGAGAAAGCAAATTTTTTGCTTCACACAAGAGGAAGCAAAATGTTAATGAAATAAACATAAAGGACCCCCTCCTTGTTTTATTAACATTAATTAATTTAATAATTAATATCTTGAAAATAACAAAAAAGGACATCTCAATATTTTTTGTGGTGAAACACACATTTTTAACTTTAAAAAAAAATTTTAAAAAGACTGAACTTAAAAAAAAGTCAAAAAATTTTTTGATTTTCAAAAAAAGGGTCAAATTTTGAATTTTTTGAAAAAATGTTTGCACCATCCGAAAGAGCAGGAAAAAACCTTTCGAAAACATATTGGTCAATTTTTTTTCATATTTCAGTTTAAAAGTTATAAAGTCTTCAAAAATTCACTGTTTAAATTTTTCAAAAAAATTCAACCCCCTCCCTCTCCTAAAGTTTTTAAAAAAACCTAACAATACTTCGTGGTTAAAATACTAACCCCTAGGGCTAAACTATGTGCAAGTTACAGCCCGATCATATTCATTTGAATTGATCTGAATTAGTTTTCATTTTCTGGAATATCATATAAATGTATATATGAATTATAATGTGGGCCGCTCGCTGCTACCCGACTGGTATTAGCGCATGCGTCCAAGCGTCCGTCCGGTTCTTGAATTGGGAGCCTCAAGTAGTCTTTTTTACAATAAATTTATCATTCTAAATAATATAATGTAAAACAGTCTTATTTCACGATAATTGAAGATAATAATATCCATTTCAGTTAGAATTAACCAACATTTCTGACGTTTTTTTAGGATACATTTATTTATAATAAAGATTTTAGTTCAATTCAACAACAAATTTTTTATTATTTTATAAAAAACGACGTTTCGGAAGTTACTACTACCCTTATCAAGTTTACAATAGTACATTAAAAAAACTATTATAAAATATTTATTCTTGAAATAATGAAGAGGCTTTTTTTAACATCTCTTTATAAAAAATGTATTATAATTTAGAAAAAAATCTATTTTTTATTATTAGGTATTATTTTATTATAGGTAATAATTATAATTAAATTAAAATTAATTAATAAAAGTATCTATTTAATCTTATTAATTAATTAATTAATAAAAAAAAATTTGAAAAATTTGAAAAAAAATTTTTTTTAAAGAATTGTAAAAAAAATTTAAGACAACGAAAATTTTGTGGTGGTTTCGGTCGGTCTTGAACTTAATATAATAAGAAGGATTTTCAGAAGGAAATAAAAATAGAGGAAATTAAAGTAAACAACAACATTAAATCCAATTAAAAGAATACATTCTTACCTGTTGAATAAACTTATCTAATAATCCTGTATTTTTAATGCTATCATAAAAATCGCCATGACCAGGTGGATACCAACTGCAAAAAATGTCCAATATAATTAAAACGTTATAATATAGGGTCAGTTGGGGTAAATGGGGACAAGTGGTGTTGAAGCTTAATTAAATTAACTGAGTTAATTTAGAGTTTTTAAATTAAGTTCAACGTCAATAATTGGAGTTGAAAAAAAATCAAGAATTTGGCCCGAAAAAAAGGAAGAAAATTTTATCTTTCTGGGTAAAAAATTGTAAAACTTAAGAAAAAAGTCCACTTTTTAAAAAAATTGTATGTTTTGAAAAAACTCAATTAAAATAATTGCCTATCATGTTTATTAAATTTTTACTATAATCTGCACGCAAAAATACGTAAAAGTGTATAAATTTGAAACTCTTTAGATAAAATTTTCTTCATTTTTTGGGGAAAAATCATGATTTTTATCGAAAATTATCAGTTTTTCCTTGAAAACGCTATGATAATCAACTCTAATCGTTCTCGCTATATATTTTTGTAATCTACATGCAAAAATACGTAAAAGTGTATAAATTTGAAACTCTTTAAATAAAATTTTCTTCGGTATTTGAGGAAAATTCATGATTTTTATCGAAAATTATCAGTTTTTCCTTGAAAACGCTATGATAATCAACTCTAATCGTTCTCGCTATATTTTTTCTGTAATCTACACGTAAAAAAGTATAAATTTGGATCCCTTAAGATAAAATTATCTCCTTTTTTTATTCGAAAAATCCATGATTTTTGCTAAAAATATGAGTTTTCCTTAAAAACAATATGATCATCAAATCCAATCGTGCTCGCTATATTTTTCCTGTAATCTACACGCCAAAATACATATTAATACCAAATTTCAGCCCTCTAGATAAATTCGTGTGGCCGCTAGGGAGGGGGGGGGGTACATGCCTTGCTTCACTAGTCTCATTAATAGGGTTCCCCCTTCGGGTACGGAACCCTAAAAAAGACAAATATTATATTTCTAATAAAAGACTAAATATATTTAATTAATAAATTTCAAAACCCTTATATAAAATGTCAAAATAAATATATTTTTCATATTCACACATTTGAATATGAAATTAAAAATTCATTAATAATTAATATATAATTAAAAGGGAGGACCATCCCTTTTGAAAATTCTGATGACAAACTGTCATAATATAGATTTTTTATTATTAGTTTGATATTTTATCAAGCACTAGCCTAAAAAATAGACATAACTGACAATTTCGTAATTTAAAACGATTTTCATGAATTTAAAATACAAAGATTATTAAGAAAAAGGTTTAGTCCAGTTTAAAGTATTAGAGTTTTCAAAAGGAAATAATTTTCAACTTCAATTTCAATTTTCAATTCACAATACTTCCCAAAAAACACGTGTTAAGCTAAGTGTAAAGATCAGTAATCGAATGCTGCATATACTCTCTTCGTGAGAAAACTACCTCCATTGCAACTGTTGTAGTTACAAAGGAGGTAGCTTGCAAACGAACTACTGATCAATACACTTTTTTATTTATTACTTCCCAAAAAACACGTGTTAAGCAAACTGTACAGATCAGTAGTCGAATGCTGCACATACTAAAACAAAAACATCTTTTTTTATTAGTTTGTCTACACTGAAACCCGGAGACCAAGACAGCCTCATTTGTTTACAGTGATTTTTGTGGTATTAGTTAATGTCGAGGGCGCCATAAACAAAAGGCTGTTTTTCTTCCCTTGTTACTTAATATACTATTTTTGTTGAATTTTTTTGTTTATAGATTTTTTTAATTGTTAGTTATTCAATTATTTATTGTTCAATAATGTAAAAAGAATTTTTTTTTTATTTTTTATGGGAGTGAGGGTCAATCAACAAATTCAATTTTGTTTGCACCCAGAGTTGATTATAGCGTAAATTTTGAGCTGTGCATTTTTTTATTTGTGACTATAACTGGATTCAATAGTAATAAATTTCAAATTAAGGAATATTCACCTGGTATTATGATTTTTGAACTCAATTCAGTAACAACATACACTAAATGTAGTATTTCATTTTATAACAGATTAGTATTGATAATCAAATGTTAATTCGATTACATGGAATACACAGCTTAAAATATAAAATATAGCTTCCAATCAACTAAGACCGTAGTGCATAGATTCTACACGAGGTACTCCCGTTTACGCAGAAATCTACGGATCTAGAGAAGAACAACTCGAAAAAAATCAGAAACAGTGTACTCTTTAGATTGTGCAGTTTTAACCAGATATTGAGAGTTCTCAGAAATTGATAGCATGATTTATTTAATACCTGTGAAGAACTAAATTTTTAGATACATATGTATGTTTGAATTTAAATTTTGTTAATTTTCTTGTTAATTTTAATAATATGCAATTTAAGGAATTTATGTACATTGAACATTTTAATTTATATCTAGGTATAGCAAAGAAGTATTCGTTGCTTTATATACTATTGTGGTGAATAGAGTGTATTTAAATAAATAGATTCAAAATACTGGAATTTAACTATGCAAAAAAAGAATATGTACCACGTTCATATTTTTGCACAAGCTGGCTTGCGACTGAAAATAAGCATTCGTTATAATGTTATTGAATTTCAACAAATAAAAATAGAATATAATTATTGAATTCATAATAATTTAATAATTTGTGTACTTTATGTACAGAGGTCACTTTAAATCAAAGATATAATATTTAAATTTAAAGTTCAATCAGGAACAATATAATACAATACAATACAATTATAATGTGTTCTTGTTTTGATTTTTGAAGATTCTTTTTATTGTTGCTTCGAATTAGTATTAATCCCTAATTAAGACTGAACTACTTATTAAAAATATGGACATGTTTAAAAATAAAAACTTTGTTACATAGCACGCCTTTAAATTTTTTTCCTTCCTTATCTTAATCCTTAAAACAATAATTATTCAATTACACGGATAAGTTTTTGGGAGAGCTGACGTACCAGTATGTTAATTTATCAACTGTGAGAGCGCTGGCAACCCACAGAAGAATATCTTTTACGCCTATGGGAATTCAGAGCTCCTACAGGGGCAAGCAGTAGACCCAAAATTCTGCTGTCTCTACGTTTCATGACTAGGAACAAGGCGCCACCATTGTTGATAGCGAAGAACTACCAAAAACTTTTCCGTGTATATTTTAAGAATTATGACAATTGTCATATTTTAAACTAGATTTATTGAAAAACAAAATGTAGCATTGAAAATTTGTTTATTTCCTATTCTTTTCAATTATCCGGATACATGCCGGCATCCATTAGTCCGGGTAATCGTGTCCCTACGGAATATTATATTTAATTAATTTATTAAATAAAACATTCTATATATATAAAAATTATTTAAAAATGCACAATTCACTTATAAATAGTATTAAAATTTACAAATTATACAGTAAAATTAAGTCAATTTACTTTTCACAATGACTGAATGTGAGAATTTAACATTATTAAACAATCGACTAGATTCGTAAAAAGTTACTATACAATCAATAAAATTTAACGAGTTAGCACAATTTATCTTACAATTAGTAATACTGTTTTATTAAAAGCCAATTAAACAATTTTTTAGTGTTTAAGCTTTCAGTGTTTCTATGTTTAGTTTATATTATTCAGAAAAGTACAAAAAAATTTGATAGAATTAATTGTATTTCTAATGCTGAAAACAATAATGAATATTTATTATTTGCATGCATTCAGTAATACACTAAATTTTAGTAGTATAAAATTAATATTTTTGGTAAAATTTTATCACCACCTAATGTTTAACAATATTTATAAATAAATTTATAAAGAAATTGTGACTTCTTTTCTGTAGGAAAATCTTTATGTTTACACTTTCTTTTGAAGTCTTTTTTAAATTTCAGTCCTTTTGGCGGTCGTAATATATTTTTTTTCTCCATTTTGAATTTTGAAAATCTGACTTCAAATTCAGAATCAGCGACCCCAAAAACCCCCGAGTAACAAGTGTCAAGCCGATTGCGTTTGATTTTCAAAATGTCTGCCATTTTGAATTTTGAAAATCTGACTTCAAATTCGCAATCAGCGGTAGGTTCTGAAAGAGGACTAAAAAATACATATGACTGCATGCAGAAACATTTGGCCGGTCACACTTCAACGAAATCTAGTGAATTTTTAGTAACTTTCTAGTAATTTTCCAAAAATTTCGATTGTAACTAGAAAGTTACTAAACATTCACTAGATTTTGTTGAAGTGTGACCGGCCAAATGTTTCTGCATACATGCACAGTGTATGCATGAGATAGAAGGACCGTACCCTAACAAATAAATTAAAATTTTTTTAATTTGTACAATATAACAATATCGTTATTCAAATTTGTTCAAAATAACAATTTTTATTCGTCAAGTTGTACAAAATAACAATATTTCCAGTTGTACAAAATAACAATTTTCTCAAAAAAAATTTGTGTCAATATGATACCGACCCGTGGGATCCTGCGTAGGATTCTTAACACGATCCCTCAGGGAACCTTTAAGGATCCTATGTAGGAAACTGTAGGGATCCTTTAAGGATCCTGTACAGGAATTTTGAGCTGGACATGCTAGCTAACCAAAAAAAAATTATTCAACCACCAATTCCAACATTGCCAAGTCAACATTTGTAGTCCGCAAAAATGCAATTTTAAATTTAATCACCTATAGGGGAGAGTGACAAACAGTGGGACACTTTTTTTTCAAAGACATATTAATATGTCAATTTTATATATTTTTGAAGACTTTTTGGTATTACCATAAAGTTTGAACTCTTTTCTACACAATGCACACATTCTATTAAGATTATATTGTGATTAAATAAAAAAATTTCATGTTTTTCAAACTTGATACATTTTTCTTGTTTTGAAGGTTTGTGTTAAACAGTGGGACACCTATTATTAAGTATATATATATATATATTTACAAAGTTTGAAACAGAATATTATTATTGAAATAATTATTTGGTACTTAATAATAGGTGTCCCACCTATTATAATAGGTATATATATATATATATATATATATATATATATATATTTTGCATTAAATAACAAATGTTGCAAAACGCTCATAATTTAATAATATTTTACATTTTTATAATACGATGTCAAGTTTCATATAAAAATTGCTATTATTTTTTTCACGTTTACAGTACTGCTGATCATGCGTCATAATTTGGTCATAACCTAAAAACAATTTAAAGAAAAATTTGAATAGTCGTTCTCTTACCAAGTGTTACTTTTTAAATGTTGTCGAACAATAATTGTAATAATTATTAATTATAAATTTTGAATTTTTTATTGTTTTTTAGCATAAAAAATCACATTTTTAGTCGCTATGTAAGTATAAATGCGCATGCGTATAGCTGACACAACTTATAATCAGTGTTGCCACAATCCACGTTTCATAAACTTAAATTTTTGCCTGTCCCAATGTTTAATGTCCCTCTGTTTTAATTGAGCAATCGCAAGAAACTATTTAAATAAAAATTGTTTGTGAAATTTTAAAATATTTTAAATTATTGGATATTATACTTAAAAACATGAGTAAACGAAGTAACAATTACACTTTTTTTTAAACTGTCCTATCTATATAAAAATCAGCATTGTATTTTAAGAAAAAATTTACTCTGGAACGTCAGAAACAGTTTTTTTCAATTTTCTTTGGAAATAATGAATCAATGTGGCTAAAAATTTTGGAGATAGTGTTGTCATAAACATGGTTTACATTTAAATTTTGGTCGAGTTTCTTTAAGTAGTTTTTCAGAAAATTAAAGTGTTCTACTGTTTAAACTGTCCCATTGTTTGTCACTCTCCCCTATATAGTGCATAATGAAATTTTTTACCACTTTCGAGGAAAGATTTTGCACTGAACATCACTTCTCAATTAGTCAGAAAAAATAAAAAAAAATACATTTTTACCGAGGTAAATTTTTAAGTAGAAATTGACTGCTAATTATTTGTTGAATTTCATATTCACATTTTACGTATACAGTCTATGTAGTATATAGGTAGCTAAAACATATATGCTGTAGCAAAACTGTGGAGAAAGTGCACAACGCATCACTGCGCAGCCCGTTTGCCATAAAGTCAACTAAGGTTTCACAGACTTTTCACAAATGAATCGTAAGAATTCAGTTAAAAATATTTAAAAGTTGAAATGACATTTAATGAATATTAAGTACCTTTCAAACATCTATTCCTAATAGTTTAACATTAAATCAAAAATAACTGGTTACATACTGAATTATAAAAAATTTTATAATTCGTTTTCAATATTTCAACGATGTTTTTAAGTTGTTGAAGAAAGTTAACTAAAATTTTACGGAAACAGTGTCCCGTCTCAAAGTGACAGACTAATCTCTTAATGATTCACGAACTAATTTTTTCCGTGTAAACTTCCCTGTTGAAAATTCCGACCTCGTTTACGACGTCGTATTCTAAGTAGTTTGTGACGTAGTAAACGACGTAGAAAACGACATAGTAAACGACGTCGTAAATGAAAGCGGAATTTGGGATAGTAAATGACGTCGTTTACTACGTCGTTTACGATGTCGTTTACGATGTTGCAAAAATTATTTTAATATTATTTATTTAGTAATTTAGTAAGTCCAATATCCAATATTAAAAATTTGAATAATAATTTAAAAAATCAATAATTTAAAAAAAAATTTATTTTTATTATTTTTTAATAGTTATTATTATTATTATTTTATTTTTAATATTTAAATTAAAATAAAAAAATGGTCATCAAAATATTAGTGAAACCATTTCTTCCAAAAAAGAATTTGTCTCAATTCCAATAAATAGGTAGGAGAGACATCGGGCAGAAAAAAATTTCGACAAGAAAAAAATTTTCAATCACTGCTTATATACCAATCTAATGGCACCTCAACTGCGAGAAACAGTTATGATGTTCGCCCTCCCTGTGGCGTTGAGCGAACTTAAGTCCAGAGCTGAGCCATCAGCGCAGCGCGGAAACATTTGAAAAATTTGATTTTATTAGATATTTTATTTTATTTTAAATATGACAAATAATTAACTTAATAAATAACTAATGTCATGAATAATTATTAATAACATAATGTCATACTTAATAATTCGTTAATTAATTATTTTTAACGAAAATTTGACAAAAAAAAAATTGTTGGCCAAAAAAAATATTACCATTAAAAAATAATTTTTTTGTTAAATTTTTGTAGTAAAAAAAATTTTTTCAAGACAATTATTTGTGACCTAAAAAAATATCACGATGAGAATATAATTAACAAAAAAAATTACTCGTAGCACAGAAAAAATTTCACCATGAGAAAATAATTTTTTTTAAATTTTATTTGTAAAAAATTTATTGGTAGCTCAAAAAAAATATCACGATGAGAAAATAATTTTTTGTCAAATTTTCTCTGTAAATAAATTAATTAACTAAATAACGTACCGTAAAACAGGGTTATTTCGCTCATTGCGGGTAAATTCGCTCACCCACTTTTATGCTTTATTTCAGCATTAAAATAAAGTTTAATACCTTTATTACCAGGTTAAAATGTTAAATTTGTTAATAGAAATACTAAATTTTAGTTTAAATCAAATTTAAAGCAAAAAAATGGGTGAGCGACTTTACCCGCATTGAGCGAAATAACCCTGTTTTACGGTAATTATTAGTTACTTCATTTTTTTACTACGAAAATGTAACAAAAAAATATTTGTAGCACAAAAATAATATTAAGATGAGAAATTTAATCAGTTTTAAATTTTCTCTGTAAAAAAATCTTTTGTGGCCTAAAAAAATTATCACGATAAGGAAATAACTTTTTTGTCATATTTTCTCTCCAAAACAATTAATTCACTAAATACCGTAATAAATCGTTTATTATTTTTACTACGAAAATTTACCAAAAATTTATTCGTAGCACAAAAGAATATCACAATAAGAAAATAATAATTTTTTTCAAATTTTCTTTGAAAAAAAAATTCGTGTTTTTAAAAAAAATTACGATGAAAAATAATTTTGTTGTAAAAATTTCTCTGTAAAAAAATTTAACAAAAAAATTATACGTAGCACAAAAAAATATTACGATGAGAAATTTACTTATTTTTAAATTTTCTCAGTAAGAAAATTATTTGTGGCCCAAATAAAATATCAAGATGAAAAAATAATTTTTTTTGTCAAAATTTCTCTGTAAAAAAAATTAATTAAATAGTGAGCTTAATAATTAGTTAATTAATTTTTTTACTACGAAAATTTAACCTGGTAATAAAGGTATTAAACTTTATTTTAAAGCTGAAATAAAGCATAAAAGTGGGTGAGCGAATTTACCCGCAATGAGCGAAATAACCCTGTTTTACGGTACGTTATTTAGTTAATTAATTTATTTACAGAGAAAATTTGACAAAAAATTATTTTCTCACCGTGATATTTTTTTTGAGCTACCAATAAATTTTTTACAAATAAAATTTAAAAAAAATTATTTTCTCATGGTGAAATTTTTTCTGTGCTACGAGTAATTTTTTTTGTTAATTATATTCTCATCGTGATATTTTTTTAGGTCACAAATAATTGTCTTGAAAAAATTTTTTTTACTACAAAAATTTAACAAAAAATTATTTTTTAATGGTAATATTTTTTTTGGCCAACAATTTTTTTTTGTCAAATTTTCGTTAAAAATAATTAATTAACGAATTATTAAGTATGACATTATGTTATTAATAATTATTCATAACATTAGTTATTTATTAAGTTAATTATTTGTCATATTTAAAATAAAATAAAATATCTAATAAAATCAAATTTTTCAAATGTTTCCGCGCTGCGCTGATGGCTCAGCTCTGGACTTAAGTTCGCTCAACGCCACAGGGAGGGCGAACATCATAACTGTTTCTCGCAGTTGAGGTGCCATTAGATTGGTATATAAGCAGTGATTGAAAATTTTTTTCTTGTCGAAATTTTTTTCTGCCCGATGTCTCTCCTACCTATATTTATTGGATTTGAGACAAATTATTTTTTGGAAGAAATGGTTTCACTAATATTTTGATGACCATTTTTTTATTTTAATTTAAATATTAAAAATAAAATAATAATAATAATAACTATTAAAAAATAATAAAAATAAATTTTTTTTTAAATTATTGATTTTTTAAATTATTATTCAAATTTTTAATATTGGATATTGGACTTACTAAATTACTAAATAAATAATATTAAAATAATTTTTGCAACATCGTAAACGACATCGTAAACGACGTAGTAAACGACACCGTAAACGACGTAGTAAACGACATCGTAAACGACGTAGTAAACGACGTCATTTACTATCCCAAATTCCGCTTTCATTTACGACGTCGTTTACTATGTCGTTTTCTACGTCGTTTACTACGTCGTTTACTACGTCACAAACTACTTAGAATACGACGTCGTAAACGAGGTCGGAATTTTCAACAGGGTTAGGTTTTACGCAAATTTTTACTGTGATATTACACAATGTTTCTCATAAACACGAGTAAGAATAAGGAGTCTTCACTCTGTGCGTGGATTGGAGGTGAATATGACTTTTTCGAAATTCAATTATTTTAAAAATTATTAAAATTCTTTGTAAAAGTAAATGTAATAAAAATGTTTTTAATCATATTTAAGTAAAATTCAATAATTTACTGTAAAAACAATAATTGATTGTTAAAGAATGTGTATTAAAAAGAAGTTTAAAGTTTGTGGATTTTTAAAGAACTTTATTAAAATTAATAAAATTAATTAATTTGTAAATGACTTTTTAGATACAAATAATATCTCATATTTAATATTTACTATTTATTCAATTACTTAATTTTTCAAAAATATGGAATTATGTGATTTTATAATACACTTTTCAAAAATAGCAGACGACTTTTATTAGGGAAATCAATAGTTTAAGGTTTTTTTTTGTTATGAACGCCACCTCTGACTATTCTAATTTTCCGGAATGATGTTACCAGAATTGGGGACATTTTTCCTTTAAAGTGAAGACTCCTTATTCTTACTTCGTGCTCATAAAAAACGAAAAATTAAATTTTTAACCTAAAAATCAATTTACAAAAACGGCTGGATGAAATATTTTGAAGTTTTTGCAAATTACGGAGAAAAGTGTCCAGATTAAAGATAGGGAAGAAATTTCAAAGTGAAAGCATCTTTAAGTTAAAGTGTGTTAAGGCGTTACATATCTTTATGCGCGTCAAAAAGAGGAATTTTCAAAAAATTTGTTAGCTGTTTAAAATGTTTTTAATACGAAGTTTATTTTATCGAATAGTACATATTTCGATGTACTTGTATATATACATTTTTATTAAAAAATATTAATAATTGTGGAAACTGTAGTCTTTGCACTAAAACACCTTTATTTATAATTGCTTACGGTGATTGCCAAATGTCAGACAGAGTTTAACTAAAATTAAAAAACAATGGAAATATCGTTAGTATATTATATTACCGCGTGCGTGAACGAAGGGTTTTGAGAAAAAAATTTTTACTTGAAATGGCGTTGATTTTTCCCCAAAATCGTGATTTTAGGGATTTAAAATTTGGTTTTTCGACCAAAAAAAATAAATTTTGATTTAAATTTAAATTCCTTCGTTCACACTCTAGCTATTATATAGCTATAGCTTTGGTTCTAATAATCCGATTTTGATGAAATTTTGGGTAATCATTCTCGAGAGTATGTGCTTTTGATATATGCAATGAAAAAAAATCGATTTTTTGACCCATGAAAAGGTATATAACCCCTTAAAGTCCACCGTGCCCAGAGACATCCTAAATATCCCTGTCTTCTGAGTGTTGTTTTTTAAAAAATCTGAAAATTTTCCATGAGATTTTTTTGAAACTTTTCATAAATCTTACTTAGCATGTTTGCAGCAAGTTTTCAATATTTGCCACAAGTTTGCAGCAAATTGACCATGCAAAATTGCTCCATGTTTTTGTGCAATTTAAGAATATTTGAATCAGATGTGCTTATGACTTTTAGAAATTATTAACCTAACAAACAAGTGTTCACTTTTTTTAACTTCGAAATGTCACTTTCTTTAAATGTTAATTTAATAAAACACTTTGAATACTTAAAATCGACTACATGCTATTAAGTAGATACTTTATCCTATTACATTTTATAACGAAGTATATCGTTATTTAGATATAAATCCCCAATATTTATTATATGGTCGAGAATTCTATATATTAGTATCAGCGTCGAATATGTCAAGCAGGGAGATCTATTCGCATATGTGTGTGATTGTGCGTGTCAGCAGTTTCTCCTTAGTATAGGTGGTTCGTTGTCCAATGAAGGATTAGGAAGTTCCAGATATTTCCGGATTCTCACCGACCAAGGGCCAGCAGGAAGGAAGAGGGCGCGCAATAATCAATCGAGAGATCAATCCGAGCTGCCGTGTAAGACGAACGTGTGTTAACGAACAGTGTTATAAAGGACTATTGATATTTTGATACGTGTAGTGATATAGTTGTTAAATAAATAGTATTGTTAATAATCGTGCGTTTATTGTATCTTTATTCATTGGGTTAAGTCGCAGCCACATCGTCGTCCAGCGGATTATCTCAACAAGAGTGTGTTTCGTGAGTACAATACAAAAGGTAACAGGTAGTTCAAATCAGGTCGTCGTCGTGTTTCTCGATCGTTTCAGCGGAATCTCCCCATGAGAGAGGCTCGTATGCCGGAGAGTATTGTGTAGAGAAATCACAGTATGTAATTTAAACACGGGATTGTGGGATATTATTATTTTAACTAATATTTCTAAGATCTAAATTAGCGTTACAATTTAAATTAAATAAAAAATACTTACGCTTCCAAGTCTTGATCAACATTACAATTTTGAGCAAGTGGAAGAAGTGAATCTTTAGATATTCGTGGATAGCAACTCTGTTTAAATACATGTATCTCAACATCCAAATTCTTGTACTTTCTGATTATTCTTTGTGTATCATGATCCGTATTAAAAGAGTTCATTAAAATGAGGGGCACGTTTACACCATAAGTCTTATTTAGATTCTAAATTATAATGTAATATTAATTATAATTATTCCAATTATTATTATTATTAATAAAAATGCTAATAGTGTTAACATAGAGATATAGAATAGCTTACTTCAATTTGTTGAACTGTAAGATCCAAAAATGTAAAATTGTTACGAACAGTTATTACTGATTTTGGACCATGACATCCCATGCTTGTGCCAAGACCGCCATTTAATTTTACGACTACTAATTTATTCAACAGTTCTTTGATTTCTGCTACACTTGGCTCAGATAAATCACAATAATCATAAATCTAAAATAATTATGAAACAATTTACTGACAAATGAAAATTATTCGTTTAAAAGGTCGTCTCGTGTAATAGGTCTATAAACAATTATTTTATTTGATAAATTCCTTGCAAAAAAACGATCAATGGCATCATTTCATATTTGAAGTACTAAAGTTGCAATGCAGAATTCGAAAAATTACGCATTCATTAAATATCCCGATTTTTGTTTAACACGTCAGATATTTTGTTAACTTGCAAATTTCACCACTTACAATAATTATTATTGCTCACTTTGATGTTATTTCCTTTTTTCTCTATTTAAAAATCTCGCATATTTGAACATAAATATTTTTTCATTCTCCATTTTCTCAAATGTTTCATTTCTCGAATTTCGCATTATAACCACAGTACTTCAAATACTGAATGGGGCTGCTAATAATTATTCTTTTATTACAGGGTGAATTTTATAACATGTTCAGAACACATTAAATTCACACCATATATTTGTCTCAATATTTTACCAAGTGATAAATTCTAATATATGATACAATATTTTTTTAATGTTTGAACTAGAATAATTTTTATATCCATTAGTGATTTTTAGAAAGTTCCAAATTGAAAAAAAATTTTAAATTAACATTTCAACTGTACTATAAATATTTAATTTTCAATATTTTTACCTAATTGTAGTATCGATTATACCTACCGCACCATAGATTTAAATAACATTTCATTCTACATTTCATATATATGAACAGAACATACTTAAAAACTGTAAACACGATTAAAGTCTACATCTTAGCGTTGGAAAAGATTTAATTTTTTTTACAAATATTAAGTATTTGGAAAAATTTCGAGTATAATTGGTTACAAAACATACACAGAAATAAAATAAATATACTTATCTCACGATACTTTTCCCTTAAAAAGAAGATAATAAAATACGTACTGCATTGTCGGGTAATTTTTGTATACGATCCCACTCTAAAGAGGGTCCTTCTTCTTTCAGAAACCTTTTGAACAAATTTTTAAAACCTCTAAACTCCTGTCCAAAAGCTTCTCTTAGGGGTTCAGGAGCTGTTGCTTGCAATCTATCAAGTTCGTTTTCTAAATGATTAAAGGCATCTTTTTTAGTTCTTTCTCTAAACTCTTGATTGTCAGAAGGACTTCTTTGATGACCCCTTAGCTATAATAAAATAACAAACTTAAAATAAAATTTTTTATTTAAAAAAATATGTTACATTCACGAAATATTCGCAATTTGGTTCTAACACAAGAAATTGTTTAAAGAAATTTTAACACATTTCCAATTAGAACAGGCATCGGCAAGTAATATTGCTTAGGACAAGATACCCAGTGCGAAATCGTCAAGGCTCATGACTGACATTGCATTGGACCAATATTGGATAACCCTTGGAATATCCACATCCTTTCCAAGACTGGGCTGTCTAATATTAATCCAATATTGACGGCCAAAATTAATAAATATTTAATTAATAAATTATAATTATGTAATTGAGCCGCAACGTGCAATAACAACACCACGCTCGGACTGTGGATCCCAACCGTAATATCTACTTTTAGTTGCGCGATGAAAACGAGACTGGGCCAATAAAGGCCTTTCTCCAATAGGAACCTAAACTTTTGCGTTGCGTGACTGACGCGTTGATTTTAGCATTGGTTGCCAATAGCAACCGACGCAATGCATACGCAACGCAAGAGTTTAGGATCCTATTGGAGAAAGGCCTTAAGGAGACTAGATTCTATCCCCCTCTATGCAACTCGGAGTAGATATTGCGGTTGGAACAGACAGTCCAAGCGTACATGTTATTGTACACTACGGCTCAATTATAATATAATAATATATTTTATTTTTTGATTACCTATATTTTTAATAATAAAATTATTGAAATTTAATATTTCTATAAAAGGAAACACAGACAATTTATTAGAAATGGCAGATCCACAAAAAACTCTATTATTGAATTAACAATTGTAATCAAGAGATATCTGCGACTCCAAAAGAGAGCGGAGAGAAGAGCTGCAGCGAACCTTTCTCGCAATCAATCGAAGGAAAAGGATTCGCGTCGTGGCTACTGTACGACGTAAACGAGTTTGCGGGACCGTTTTTCCCGCTTTAAATTTCTATTAAATTGTATGATAAAGTTTTTATAATTTAGTGCAAATAACACTGTGCAACAGAATTTCATTTTTTTTATTTCTGGGATCCCATTTATAGAAAAGATTCTTACGCAATGCCATGTTAAGGGGGGGGTATAGTTAATTCGGTGAAAATAATGCACACTTTTAAGAATTTTTTTTGGCGATACAAAGAAAGTTAATATATTTATTAAATTTTTATATAATAGTACAACATTTGAACAGTATTTCACCAAATTTTCATTGCAAAATATTGCGAATTGAGCGAGTAAGAGCAAATCTCCTCAGGCGCTTGCAAAAAAAGTTATTTTACGGTGTACACTCTAACTCGCAACAGAATCATCTAAAACAAAAAAACCAAGATGCATTAGTCAAAGGAGATGTTTCTCGAGGTAACCCTGGGAGCTTTTTTTGTTTTTTAAAAAATTACTCATTTTACAATAACAAATTCGTCGATTTTTTATAGAAAAAATCGGTTTTTTGGCTTTTATGTGTTACGAAAAATCGAAAAATGAAAAAAAAATCCTCCCAGCGTTACCTCGAGAAACATCTCCTTTGACTAATGCATCTTGGTTTTTTTGTTTTAGATGATTCTGTTGCGAGTTAGAGTGTACACCGTAAAATAACTTTTTTTGCAAGCGCCTGAGGAGATTTGCTCTTACTCGCTCAATTCGCAATATTTTGTAATGAAAATTTGGTGAAATACTGTTCAAATGTTGTATTATTATATAAAAATTTAATAAATATATTAACTTTCTTTGTATCGCCAAAAAAAATTCTTAAAAGTATGCATTATTTTCACCGAATTAACTATACCCCCCCCCCTTAATCTTAACACCAAAATCAGGTGTCGGTTCAACAGCTGATTAGCGGGAAACTCGCACCAACACATTCTCACTTTCCTCACTTTACACGGCAACACACAAATACACTCACAAAATCACTACGCGCGCAACACACAACCAACGCGCTGCGTGTATGCACAATTAGTATTCTCATAGCAATCAACCGCAAAAGTCGTTCTCACCGGCATTTTGCAGTGATACGTCCCACGTAATGTGCTAGGGACTATTACACGGAAAAAAATCTTGTTAGAATATGTAATAAATCTGAATAGAAATTTTGATATTTTTGTTTTTCAATTGCGAAACATTCTAGTTTGATAATAAAAGTTAGTATAGTTTTACGAATACCTTTAACTGAAAACATTTTACGAAAACTGAAATTATTATTATTTCTTAATTCAAATCTACAATTTTCGAATATTGAAAAAACTATAGGAAAAAACAGTATAGGAAGTAAACAGTCTAGCACTTTGTTATTTACTAAATTTATACGAAAAACAAGAACCAATATTCCGTAATTTGCTAAAACTATACGAAAAAGCAGGAGACGTGAAAAAAAGAAAAACGTCGGAACCACCAATGGCTCTTTTCTCAGGTTTTCTATCCTTTTCTATTCGAGGGTAATTGGGGTCTTTCTTAATACACACACATAACTGGTACTATAGGCCTGTTGTCTGGTCACATGCAGTAAGATAGTATTAACCTCAAAAACAATAAACTCAAACATTTATCACGGTGCATCTCATTACCAAGTCATTTTTATTCTTTTAGGTGTTATCAATTTTATTAAAATAACTTATAGGCAACTCTTAAAATAATTATACTTTTGTGCTTGACCACAGCGTGGTCACGCCATTTTTGTTCATTATATACTACATTTGTGTTTTAAAATAAAGTGTGAAAATTAAGTGAATTTTGTACATAATTGAATTATTTCCTCCACCCACTCCTCATTAAAAAGAAAGTGTAAATCTCAAACAAATAAGTTTCGTTGAAACTTATGTCTCTCCGGGGTTTCCAGGGTCAGTAACACAAGTCTACAAGTGATTTCCAATGTATTTTTGTGTGCTGAACACGATTCTAAGTTCCAAAGTTGCTTAACATGTTCTTTGTGTATTTACCCCCATTTTTTCCAAATCCTGACGTGATACACAATTTTGGAACCTGGGATAAATAAATAAAAATAAATGCTGTTGCACTGTGTAATTGCTAATTGATATCATATATTTAATAAATTTGTGACAATATTATAATGTCAATTTGGATTATTATTATGTCTTTATTTTGTCCCAGGAAATCATGAGGACAATCATTTATGTACAATACAATTCATAATATACACTAATGTTTGTATAAAAATTCATAAATTAATTTAAATCTAAAGTTAAATAACAATAATAAAGATAAAAAATATAATAATTTTTTATGATTACAATAGCAGAAATCATAAAACATTCAAACAAAAACAGACTCTACTACTCTCTAGAAAACAAAAGTCTAACAACTGCAGAATGGTATGAAATAGAATAAAATTTATTTTTTTACAGATATGCAGAATCAGGAATTAACATTTAAATAGTAGGATTAAAATGAACAAAATTAAAATAAAAAAATAATACATTTTAATTATCAAGAGCTAACAAATATTTGAAAAGTTTGGACCTAAAAATACCAATTCTTTCTGCATTAGTTATAGAATAAGGAAGAGAGTTCCATAAAGTTATAGCATCAATAAAAACAGGATTTTTATATCGTTCAGTTCTACAGAGAACCTGGCTGAAAAAACTTGTACAAGAAAATGTACAAGTTCTTGTACATGTTCATTAATGAACTTGTAAATTTTCTTGTACATGTTCAAGTAATGTTCTTGAACAAGTTCAGCATCCGGAATTAAGACATGTTCTTGTATCAGAACTTGTACAAGATCCTGGACAAGAAAATATGCTTGAACAAGAAAATGTACATGTTCTTGTACAAGAAAATTTGTTTAAAAATATTTTGAAAAAAATTTGAAATTTCAATAAGTTATAATTATTAAGACTCTTCACGTTCACTTATGCATGCTAAAAATTATTGCGCAGCTGTAAAGGCTAAAGAAAACTACTGTGCAGCCTTTAAAGTTTTTAATTTTTAATTTAAAAAACATAAATGAACATATGCAAGAACATGTTCCACATCTGGTACAAGAAAATGTACATGAAACCTGCACAAAATAATATGTACAAGAATATGTACATTTTCTTGTCCAGGATCTTGTACAAGTTTTGGTACAAGAACATGTCTCAATTCCAGATGCTCAATTTGTTCAAGAATATTACTCGAACATGTACAAGAAAATTTACAAGTTCATTAATGAACATGTACAAGAACTTGTACATTTTGTTGTACAAGTTTTTTCAGCCGGGAAGTGCCCTAAGTGTATTAGGACACCATATTTCTCTCGAAGTAATTTCACTTCTAAAAGTAAATTTTTAATACAAATAAAAAGGCTTTTTGGATTTAGAGTTACGTAAGTTTAACATCTAATAAATAACAGACGTCTATTTTCAACATTTAGCGGATTCGCCGCTAGGTGGCCTTTGAGTTAACACGTGTTTTTCTTTCGCTCGCGATTATTTTGCTTATTTTCCTGTGTTTTCTTAACATGTTTTATTAATAATAATTTTCTTTGAGTGCAAGAAGAAATGTTCTATTGAGAACATTAACATTTCTGTGATTTTTACTCATTAACTTTGTTAATGATCTTTTTGTGTCTACGCTGGTGTTTCTAACCACCAAATAACTGTATAAGATGTCGCAAGCAAAGTGTTTCAAGTGTGCAAGAAATGTTATTGACCCTGTTTTTTGTTCCAAATGTAAAAAACCTTATCACCCCAGCTGTGGTTTACAAACGGGTTACAATGCTGACGGCTCATATGTTAAATGCTGCAGGCCCTCACCTCGTTCTCTATCATCTTCGTCTGCCACTGAGTCTGATTCCGCTGTGCTCAAGGCAATTGCCGAGCTTAAAGTTTCGTTCGAGTCAAGGTTCGACAAAGTCGATTCTAAATTAGACCATTTAGGGAATCGTGTCCTTAGCAATGAACTTGAAATTCAAGATCTGAGCAAACGTGTGTCTAATGTCGAAGGTAAGATTCAAAACTTAATCAATGCTGAATCAAAAAATATTATTGCTCGTCAA